CTCAAAAAAAAAAAAAAAACAACACAGACACACACATAGTACTATATGCAAAGCATCTCACCTGGCAGAAGCTGATGCCCCTATGACTGTTCCCCAGCTTGTCCAATGGAGGTGACAGGCACATCATTCCCATGACATTGGGTACCACTAGGAGGATGGCTCCAGATACAGCTGACTTGGCTGGCAGGCCCACCTGGGGAACAAAGTTGATGCTGAGGATGAGCTAAGGGTGCCCCAAATATGATATAACAAGTCAGGCTATACCAAGCAACTGCATAGCCACAACCCATCTCAACCTTTTGGCTTGTTAATTTGCTTATTTTCTTACTCCTCCCCCTTTTCTCCTCTGCTTAAATTCATTGACTCAGGAAATACTGATTGAAACACTCGGTTTTCTGTGCTGGATCCTGTGCTAGAACTAGGCAGAGTCTTTCACTTAACTTACATTCTAGGGGCAGGAGATAGGCAATAAACCAGTAAACAGATAATTTAAAAATTTATAAATACTGAGAAGAAGTAGGGTACTATAAACAGGTGGAAGGGAGTGCACATCAATGAGATAGTTCCAGAAACCACCCCAGAAAGAATGGACATTCCTTGGGGGAGGAGGGAGAAATACCATAACCCAAGGTGACATTTCCCATGCCATGTCCTATGCCGTAATAAAAACAAATTCACACACACAGGCCTTTCTTTGAAAGTAATATCTAAGCTGAGACCTATAGGAGAAGAGTCAGCTGCAACATCGTGTGTTTATATATTTGAGGAACTTTGCCAGACTCCCCTAAGGATTTTGGTGTTTTTTTTTGTTGTTTTTTTAGAGTAGGAGGCTCACTCTGTTGCCCAGGCTGGAGTGCAGTGGCACACTTGTGGTCACAGCAGCCTCAACCTGCTGGACTCAGGTGATCCTTGATCCTCCCAACTCAGCCTTCCAAGTAGCAGCTAATTTTTAAAAAAAATTTATTGTAGAGACAAGGTCTCGCCAAGTTGCCTAGGCTGGTCTCAAACTCCTGGGCTCAGGAAATCCTCTTGCCTCTGCTTCCCAAAGTGCTGGGATTACAGGCGTGAGCCACTGCGCCTGTTTTAGAATTTTCTACCGAATTGCCTGGATTGAAGTTTTTCAATGAGAGGTAGGAAGAAGTCCACCTCTCTATCTTCAGAGGCCTAGCATTCTCTCTTCTTGGCACTGGGCTCATGGCAGATGGATGGCAGGGCCAGAAACACTCACGTGGAAGGCAAACTGGCCAGAGAAGTCGTACATGCCGCAGGAATGCATGAGGCTGAGCGTGTTGCGCACTGCTTCAGCACT